AAACAAAAGGATTAAAAAAAACATACAAAACAGTGTTTTATGAAATTCAGAAATTGCCAGTAGGTTTCTGTAAGGGGTATAGTAGGTTTAGGTGTAGGGTTGGTGAAGGGCGATAGGAAATACAGTTTGTACAGTATAAAAACCATTATGCCTACGGAGAGTCCCCGTAAACCACAAATGCAATTGTGTGTGTGTGTGTGTGTTTAATTTGCATGGGAAAGGATTCAAGTAATAACAGACTGGACATCACATACTCAAACACATATGGTCCAGAGTGCATCAAAAATAACATCTGTGCACTAAAAGGTGCGGCATTGCAAACTTTAAACTTGTGACATTAAGAAAAAGCCAGGTTCTGAAGAATAAACAAACAAACAACAACAACAAAAAAAGATCTGTTCATACTCAAGAGTAAGTTGTCTATTATTACTGTTATATATATTATATCCGAAAAATTCAATACATTAGCACTTTAATCTAGGGATTAAAGAAATAGTTCGCACAAAAATGCCATTCAAGATGTAGATGAGTTTGTTTGTTCATTGGAACAGATTCAGAGAAATTTAGTATTACATGACTTGCTCATCAATTCCTCTGGAGTGAATGGGTGCCGTCACAATGAGAGTCCAAACAGCTGATAATCACAATAATCCACAAGTAATCCACACGACTCCAGACCATCAATTAACATCTTGTGAAGTGAAAAGCTGTGTGGTTGTAATAAAGAAATTCATCAAGATGTTTTCAATTTCTAACCTCCAGCAAAAAGTCCATGGCTGAATCAGGAGAGAAATATGCACAGATCAAGCACTGTTTACAAGCGAAAAGAGTCCAAAACAGTTCTTAACAAATATATTGGTGGATTTTGATCTAAGAGGAAAACAGGGGATGTACTATTTCACTGGAGGTAGTGTTATTATGGATTATGGACTTTTTTGGCCAGAAATAACGGTTTAAATTTAAAACATCTTAATGATGTAGCCTATTTCTTACAAACATGCGGCTTTTCAAGACATTATTGATGGACTGGAGTCGTGTGGATTACTTGTGGATTATTTCGATGCTTTTATCATTTGTTTGAACTCTCACTTAAAACTCACTATAAAATACCGAATAAGAGTGACAGACAATAAGTAGCTGCTACAATTGTAAGAGTGTCCTGCAAACATCAGGTAGCACATCCAAAAAGGGTAATGCACAACAATTTTTTTTATTTAATTCAGTGATTATGCACCATAGTTTGTACTAATTAAAAAACATAAATATAACGCAAAAGTGCATTAACCTACTAGCTCAAACAGAGGAAAATGGCGGTACCAATGCCAAGGTCATGAGTTCATTTCCCAGAGAATGCATGAATTGGAAAGTATCTTTAATGTAGTGCAAATCGCTTTGGATAAAAGCATCTGTCAAATGTGTAAATGTAAATGTAATTTAAAAACAGCTTTGTTGTGGATTCAAAATAAGAATTGCATTGGATGAATAATCTAACAGGCCAAGAGAGGTGTTAGGACACAACATTATCCAGAAATATCAATAAATATTTTAAAAGCTCATTTATAACAATAATTACAACATCTTTCAATGTCCCTGAAAATGAGTTCTGGTCAATAAACACTGGTCAAACAACCAGTGATACTAATAGTTCTCAAAGGCATTTGAGCTGAGTTCGGTGCATTACTTTGAACTTGAGCCTTGTTGGTTTTGAGAAGTAAAATGGTCCAAATGAAAGCACGCAATGAATTAAAACAATTTTTTGAAGCACTTTTGGTAAACAAACAGCATAAACAACTGCTGTATTTTTTTCTGTAACAATTTATGAAACTTCATAGTTTGAAACTATGCAGAGTACAATATATTGACAGAAGAATTTCTGTCCTTTCACACCAGTTTACAGGACTAAAAATTATGTGATGACCTGTGGAATTAAAGAATTTGCATTTGCCAATCTGAGCTAGTGAGCTGAAAATGAATTCATTTCAGCTGTTCTAGCTTTCAATGGCACAAAAGACAAATAGGTTTAACTTTTAAATGCATTTTCTTTTTTTCTCAAGTCATGATGCATACATAATACAGCATGCATGACTTAAACTCAAATTACTTATTCCTGGAGCTTGAATGGTCATGGTCAGAAGACCTGCTGCTGCTCTGTTCACATACCAATCGCTGATCAGTTTAATTATGGATAAACACCCCCATCTAGAGGATATTTCAAATATTAAAGAAAACAATCTGAACAGGAGCTAAGCATATAGCCTAATAATAATAATTAACATTCATAAAGCAATGCACAATACATTTCTTAAAAACAACTACAGTAATGGATATGCATATATTACTATTATTATTATTATTATTACTTCAGCTAGGATTTTAATAATATCAGTAATAATGGCAAATAATGCATGGCTTAAGTTATAGTATAGGGATGATATGGGATGCCCCAATTAGATGCCCCATTTGAGAGCAGTGTGCATTTACTGATAAACTGTAATATTTAGACCAGGGACGGGCAACTGACGATAGTGACTAGGGCCAGCACTTTTTCTCCTTTAAACCAAGGGACCAGATTACTAATCCACATCCACACACCCAGTGGTCTCAAACTCAATTCCTGGAGGGCCACGGCTCTGCAGAGTTTAGCTCCAACCAGCTCCAACTCACACCTGCTTGGAAGTTTCTAGTAATCCTGAAGACCTTGATTAGCTGGATCAGGTGTGTTTGATTAGGGTTAAAGCTAAACTGCGCAGAGCTGTGGCCCTCCAGGAACTTGTGCAGAAATGCTAATTCAAATGGGAAACTTTGTTGTCAGGTGACAAGCAATATTACCCCAACAAGCAAATGTAAACATCTCAATTGCATTGTCTGTAAATTTGCAATCAAACAAATGTAGAGATCCTGTTTTTGATTAGTAGCCTACAGAACATTCACAACACAACCTGAGGACAGTTAAAAAGTGCTTATTCAAAAAATAATAATAAAACAAACAAAAATTATTCCAAATAGTAGCTACCATAAACATAGGACTAGTAATATTAAAGAACATAACATTACACAATTAAAAATATACATTTTACCATAGGACTATAAATGACAGAGTATTAATTTATTTCCCCTCGATGTGGGGAAAAAAAATCCTAGTGAACATCAATCAGTACTCAATATTAATTTAAACTGCTTTAAATATGACTGCTGCTTATTTCCTGTGCATTCTGAAGGTATACTGAGCGTTTGGTGAGAAACAAATGGAAATGGCAAGTTATTATATTTTATGAAAATCTTGCGTTGCAGTGCGAGTGCGCAGCAGCTCATGCCACGCACAAGTGCATATCCTTTTGAGATATCAATTATAATCAATTTTAATAAAACACAAGACTACATTATATAACTCTAACAGTAGGCTATTTAATATCTGTTGTTCTCCGGTTGTCAGTCAAAATGACAGTACTTGCGTGAACATAGGTCAACCCAAGCCAATTTATTATTATTTCCTTTTTGTCTTAGTGTTTAAAATATTTATTTTGAAACAAATTAATTAATTTCTTAATTAAACAAACAGACTTACTGGGTGAGCAGGGTAGGCTATGACAGCTGTCATATCATACCCTGCCATGCCCAGCTGATGCAAAGAATAGAATTTATATCTACACAGAAGAAAGCCTTGTCTAGACTCTGCCCAGGTATGAGTTGTGTCGAGCTATTCATAAGCCTGTTTGTTTGATGAAAAAAAGATTATATGTAGTTGCAATAAATGCTTTAAGAATCCGTACAACTGCAGCAGTGGAGGACTATTATTCTGCTGCATGATACTGCAGAAGAACTGATGACGGCACGGTTTGATCTTCGGCTGACCAATCAGCAGAAAGGGGCGTTTAATTCCCGCCCACGTGTAGAAATCACATATTGAAGCCATTTATTAATTTTTCCACCCATGAACAAAAAACGAAAATTTAAGCTGAATTCTCGTTTCTCATTTTTCTACTTTCAATATTAAATCAAAAAACGAATGATCGAATGATACACGGATTCATCCTGACTGGAAAAAACGATTTCCATTCGTTTATTTTTGCTAACGTTAGTGAACGTTCACACTACGCTGTAATTAATACGAGGAGCGGCTGGAAATAGCGACATCTCCTGGTTGGAATTAGTATTAACATCATAAACTGAAAGCAATCTTTCCGTGACTTACTTTTTCAAATGTTTTTAAAATAAATTGGTCATCCGAGTATGATCCAGCGGCCGTATACAGTGCCGAGGGCCGCCAGTTGCCCATCCCTGAATTTGACGATCGAGTTTAGAATCATAGGCGACTGGATCCCCCCCCACCCCCACCTTATTTTTCTTTTGACCATATGCACAAAATCTCATCTCAATACATGGCTACTCTCTTCTTAATTAATTTTGTCATTCCATTTGAATATCAACATTTAGTTAGTCGAAACAGTAGGAAACAAACAGAAGGCCTGAGTGGCATGTTATTACAAGTGTTATTAATTAAACTGTAAATAATAAATATTAAATTCAATTATTGTAATTCTAGGGGTTATTATTCAATAATTCCAAGAGTTAAATGTACATTTCAAACATTTTCACTTATAGCCTAATTGATGGAATCATTCAATTCGAATTCAGTGTTGCTATTATGTCAAATATTCTATTAAAATGCCCCTAAAAAAAACACATGCTAAAAGAAAATATATGATAGCTATGTGTTAATCTGTAGCCTATAGAAACAGGATATGCTGGTAACATGCCGGTTAATGAAACGCCTTTTAACGCCCACTTTGTCAACCACACAAGTGACTTCACAATATGATAGTTTTTTCTTGTATTGAACGACGAAACTTCAGTGAGAGAAACGAAACTATCGTTATAACTAGGAAATAGCAGGGAAATGAAACTTAACCGGTCTAGTTCAGTTTACCTGTAAAGAAACTGCATCACTCTGAGACTAGCTCTAAAGAAGAGGGCACCGCGTCTGACACTTTAACGTGCTGTCGAAAGAAGGATTTCTCTTTGTTATTTTGACGCTTCGACGTTGTTTAAGGAAGGAGAAAATGAGTTACACGTTCAGTCAGCAATATGAGGAAAAAATCCGCCCTTGCATCGACACCATCGACAAGTTACGGTCTTTGGGAGTCGAAAAGGACCTGGCGCTGCCTGCCATCGCCGTCATTGGAGACCAAAGCTCAGGGAAGAGTTCTGTTCTAGAGGCGCTGTCTGGGGTAGCTTTACCCAGGGGTAGTGGTAAGGACAACACATGATAAAATAAAAAATATATACTTATATAAAGATATACAAATGTAAATAACCACGGAATTTCCAGAAAATACTGTGGATGTACCATGGCACAGTAATGGTACTCTCTATCATGATGCTTACAAATTACCATGGAATTTACATGTACTTCGAAGAACAACGTGGTGAAACGATGTCTGACATCCTTTCATGTTTTCTTTAGGAATTGTTACAAGATGCCCTCTTGAGCTCAAAATGATAAGAACTAAAGGTGAAGAGAAATGGCATGGGAAAATCAGCTACCTGGGCAAAGAAGCGGAAGATATAGATGACCCAGCAGAAGTGGAGAAAAAGATTCGTGAAGGTAGAGAATGCTTAGAATGCATCTTGAGATCTTCCAAAAGAGTATATACAACTTAGGTTTTGTATCTTATTGTGTCTGTAGCCCAGGATGAGATGGCTGGACCAGGTGTTGGTATTAGTGAAGAACTCATCAGTCTGCAGATCACCTCTGCCAATGTTCCTGACCTCACTCTCATTGACCTCCCTGGTATCGCACGAGTGGCAGTCAAGGGTCAACCTGAGGATATTGGAGATCAGGTAAACTTTTTATATTTACTATGTTTTTCATATGACATTTTATTGAAAATACCCTTGTGAGTGAGACCGTGGAACATTATCACATGCATTGATCACATGCATTTATTCTAGATTAAGAGACTGATCAGGAAGTTTGTTACAAAGCAAGAAACAATCAACCTGGTTGTGGTGCCATGCAATGTTGACATAGCAACCACAGAAGCATTACAGATGGCTCAGGAGGAGGACCGTGAGGGTGAAAGAACATTAGGTGTGCATTACTGGTTGCATTTCAACCTTCAACTGTTTGCATATCCACCTTATTTTGGAATGCGGAAGTAAGCTATTTTCTGTCAGGACCACTATTGTCAAAGATGATTGACAATTAGCATACAGTTTGGATTGGCAGTATAGTTCTCTTCTGGGCAAAAACTCCCTGCCCATCCATGCAGCCTAGCATGGATAAGAGCAGCGATAACCCCCCTGGGGAAAACAGAACAGAACCAAAAGTAGCTGATATCCATAATGCAAGCTTGACTTACGTGACCTGCCAGAACTAACACTAGGCTTGATTCTTTGAAGGTACAAGGATTCTGATTAATCAGCTGCTATTGGTAAATAACTAGAAGAATAACAATATGCAATAAATGGTAAAACTTCAATCTACAAATTAGTGTTTATTATTATAATAATAATGAATTAAAATAATGTGATAACAAATACCAGTTTGCAATATCCAGCAGCATAATGGACTGTGTTTGTACAGGTAAAATAATTGTAAGTGAATGACACTGGAAATCTGGCACAGTCAAGTTAACATTAGCTACATCTGCTCTTACATTAAAAATAAGGTGGAAACATCAAGTCATTAAAACCATAGGTTGCCATGCGTATTCTGATTGTATAATTTGTCTACTACAGGCATCTTAACAAAGCCGGACCTGGTGGATAAGGGCACTGAAGAGACAGTGGTAGACATTGTGCACAATGAGATCATTCACCTTACTAAAGGCTACATGATTGTAAGGTGCAGGGGACAAAAAGAGATTTTAGATCAGGTCACTCTCAATGAGGCCACAGTAACAGAGAAGGCCTTCTTCCAAGACCATCCTCATTTTAGGTGAGTATATGGTCACACTGTATTATCTATTAAGAGTTGATACCATCAAATAAAATAACATGGTATTTAGTAAGACCCTTTTGTGAGCAGCATGGCTGACATGTTTTCCTCCTTTCAAAGAGTGTGGTTATTTGCAAAACTTAGCAAATTACCTGTGTTATTCCCACATAGTGCATGTACAGAGAAGTACCTGCTATTTGGGATTCTAGTAAATCTAAAACATAGGTCACATGATTTATTTATGGCATTTTTTCCTCAGCAAACTCTATGAAGAAGGTTTTGCCACTATTCCCAAGTTAGCTGAGAAACTAACAATTGAGTTGGTTCATCACATTCAGGTGAAATAACTGTCATTTCTTAGAAAAGACACCTACAGTTCTAGACTTATAGTAAATGTAGCTCATTTTATAATGTTAATCTGTTATGTAGAGATCCCTGCCTCATTTAGAAGAGCAAATCGAGAACAAGCTTGCTGAAACACAGAAGGAACTGGAGAAATATGGTAATGGACCCCCATCAGACCCTGCAGAAAGACTGAGCTTTTTCATTGATGTGAGTACAATCATGAAATCTACTATATCATACTATACAAGTATGAATATTTAGTAAAGAGTCATACCGATATCACTAAGTCACTGAAATCCTTAACATCTCATTACTAAATTTAGAAAGTAACAGCTTTCACTCAAGATATGTTCAACCTGACCACTGGGGAGGAAGTTAAATGTGCTTCAGATCTACTAATTTTTCCAGAACTTCGGGATGAATTTTTAAAATGGAATAGCTTCTTGGATCGTCTAGGAGTTTCCTGTGAGTAAAGCATATACTTGGTACCACCTGATTGTCCTTTTGCTTTTGGCAAATGTACTATGTTATGATTTTTCTATTATGATTTTACCATTTTTATGTCTTTACCATTTTAGCAGAGTTGCAATCAATTAATGATCAACCTAAATGACTAAAAACTAAAAGTGAATCATTTCACTAAAAATCACTTTCAGAAGCTGAACTTATAATTGAGCTGAGGATTTGAATTTATTTTTCTGACAATGTTCAAAAACTCCTTGCAGTCAACAAGAAGATTGAGAAACAAGTTGGTAACTATGAAGCCAAGTATCGAGGAAGAGAGCTTCCAGGATTCATCAATTACAAGACCTTTGAAGGGCTTGTCAGGGAACAGATCAAGCTGTTGGAGGAACCTGCGTTAAAGACACTGAAGACCGTCTCTGGTTAGTGTTGCTTTTTGTCTTTCAAATCCATTTCTACAGTCTTCAATCATTTTCAGGTAGTTGCTATAGTAAAGCTATTCTCACGGTACTGTTCTATTTCCATTATAAGTTTACACTTATAATGCAGTACATGACCAAAATATGTGGAAACCTAGAATTGTCAGGAACCAGGAAATCTCAAATCCCTGAACATTCCAGTTGGCACAATGCTTTTGTAGGTACAGAGTTTTGTTGCCTAGGGGATAAATAGAAAAGATCACATTGAAAGATGCCTTATGAACTCAACATTCTGTCCTTGAGTAAGGCATGTAACCCAAGGTTGGTCCAAGTTGATTTTTCTTCTAGTGTGATGATTCAGATAAAGGTAGCTATTTAGTCATTAGTACACTTTCTCATGACAAAACTGGATTCACTTGATAACTTGAAAGTGAAAGTTGTTGTACTAACATTATGTTTGTATTTACACAGATGTGGTTAGAAAGAAGTTCATCCAGCTGGCCCAGTTCAGCTTTGTTGGATTCCCTAATCTTCTGAAAATAGCAAAGGTAGGTTTTTGTGTGTTAATGCCAGCGTTTCTGGCATCCACAGCTCATCTCTAGGGGCATTAGAAAACAGAGCTCTATATAAACTGAATACACACAGGTAACAAATGAACTTGTAAATGTATTCAACAGTTTCTAGACTACTGTGGTAAAGTGTAATATGATATATTCAAATTTAGTGCTTGGCTTTGGCAGGCAGGTAGGCTGGCTATGTAATGATTGTACAAAAGGGGGTGCCACTGCCCTCCCAAGCTCAACAGTGTGATTCGGTATGACCCAGAATCCGCCCAACCTACATTTATGGGTAGTAGCTGCTACTGGTTTCTGGCAATAAACAAATTCAAAGTGGTTAAACGGTCATTTTATTAGCTTTTTTTATGATTGTTTATAATAACTGTTCAACGTTCAATAATGCCCTTGAATCATGCCACAAAGTTAAAGAATTTGTATTCTCACTACAGTTTACAATAATAAATCTTTTATATACTTTCTTAGACTAAGATCGAAGCCATCAAGCAGGATAAAGAATCTCAGGCAGAATCCATGCTGAGGACCCAATTCAAGATGGAGCTCATTGTTTACAGTCAAGATGGCACATACAGTCAGAGCTTGCAAGATGCAAAGGAAATGCTGGAAGAGGAGGAAGATGAAAGTTCCCATAGGAAATCTAAAAAGTTTAATTTCGTGAGTGTAGACATTTGCACAGGCAGTCGTGCCACTTTGCGTGAGATGAAGTTGCACCTTGAGTCTTACTACAAGGTAAGAGTGCCAACCAAAGCTTTCAGTGCCATCAGATGTAGCTCAAATTGTTATGTATATCTTAGATTTTGTCTTATCTACCTCATCAGATTGCAAGCAAGCGTCTAGCTGACCAGATCCCAATGGTGATCCGCTATCTGCTGCTCCAGGAAGCAGCTTTGGAGCTTCAAAGGAACATGTTGCAGTTGCTGCAAAATAAAGATGATGTAGACAATCTGCTTAAAGAAGACTTTGACATTGGCCTAAAGCGAGAGAGCTTACTGAGCCGCCAGGACCGTCTGATGAAAGCACGCAGCATTTTGTTTACCTTTTAGAATCACTTTGTACAGTCAATTCCAGCAGTTTAAATGCAACAAATTCACATGCTGCTTGTGACAAACATGAGCAGCATTGGCTGCAAAGAATGTAAACATTAATGTTGGTTAATGGCTTTATTTGAGAAATAGCAATTGAGCACTTACAGCAAAGAAATATTGGCTGTATTTTTTCATTAAATATCCTTTAACAATATATCGATTTGTAAAATTATTATTATTTACCTCTGAAGTGCTTCTTTATGCAATATTATTACACTTGTCAATAAAGTTGTGTACTACTTTTGGGTCTTGTGCAGGACATTGTAGTCTCTTTAAAAATAATAATAAACTCATGGTACCTCAAAATTCCATAATAATAATAATGACATATGTGGAGTTTAAAGGGATGGTTCACCCAAAAATGAAAATTCTGTCATTAATTATTCACCCTCATGTCGTTTCAAACCCGTAAGACCTTCGTTCATTTTCAGAACACAAATTATAATATTTTCTGATGGAATTTTGGGAGAGTATCTGCTGGACGTAAACGGCGTATGCTGTTCTGTGTCAGCTGCGTCACGCTGGATCTGTTTCCTCAAAAATATTATTTTTGCACATTCTTATGTAGTAAAATTTATTTTAAAGAACAACTGGAATTTTTTTTAGTTTTTGTTTTCATTTTTACTTAAAGAGATAATTCATGGAAAATTTGCTGTGGTAAATGGAAGATTTCTGCCAAGATTTCACCTGGTAGAAAAACAAATACTATTAAAATGAATGTCATGATTCCCACTATGACCACTAAATGGCAGCAGACGATCATTTATTGGTCTCCTTTACCATTTCCACTCTGTAATATAGTTCTTTTCACATGTTTTGCTAATGGATTTATATTTAAACATTATAAAATCACTATTATAACATTTAAAAATCAATTTTTTGTCAGAGTGCAGCATTATTTTGTATTGAAGAACGAAGTAGCAAGAGTTTTCTACTCATTGAATCTACCTGAATTACACATATGGCCTATTTTCAAACTAGTGAAAAGTGGCTAGCTTGTATCCTTGTTTACAATCTTAGTTTCTCTCAAATGTAAATCAAATGCCCATTCACAAACATGTGTTTCCACCATTGCTTGTACTCCATCATAGCATAGGCCCACTCATGGATGAGACATGCAGATAACTATAGTCAACCTTCACTGAATTTTATATAACCAATGAACTCTGAAAAAGTTATCAGTCAGTGTTTAACATTCTATTAGTTGTCAAAATGAATTCATTGCAGGACTTTTGTCATACCTAAATCGAGCTCTGTACAAAGGAAAATAATGTAAGAATGTAAAATACGTTTTTTTTCATGCATTTAAATAGGTTTTCATTTCCTTTTCATTTTCGTACTTTACAAATTAACGAAAAATTAGTTCATATTTTCTAGTACATTTAACTGCACTATGCTCACATTTGGCCTACTTGTGCATTAAATTATATAAATAAATAAAAATTACATAGGCTAGCCTATCATCTTGCGCCCTATTGTGATCTCGAATTGCAGAATATTTCAGTAGGCTGCATGCATCCGAACGACGTTCTTAAATGTAATGCACATACATGCATGCCCAGTTTTAATCGCCATTTTTGGTAATTTCGTGACTTAACTGACATGTATGCTCGCAGTTTCTAGTGCGGTTTATTTATGAAGTGAGCCTGCGCCTCGTTTTCGCTACAGTTGAAGAGTGTGTGCCGTGAGCACAGTAAAACGGCTGATAGGACAGGAACGTTTGTTTTACTGACATATAAATATCTCATCAGACCGCAGTTCCCTGTTGTTCTACTGAAACTCATTTGGCACATGTACCTTTACCTTGCTCGTTTGACTCGCGCTGAGGGCAAGCTGAAGTGCGCGTCTGAAAAGTCTCCAGTTTGTTGTGGTCGCAAAGATAAGGCTGTTCCACGTCTTAAGTTTTTTATACAATATTATGCTAAATGCTATAATGCTAAAAACTGTTAAATAAAAATGTTGCATTAATTATTTTTAATAACTAAGCTTTTGATTATTTATAACGTTTTATTAAAGAAGATTTTCACAGAATGATTTTGGCCCTATGCACTGCATATACTGCATACCCCGTTTTTGCGCCACTAGTCAGAAGAACTGTTAAGTGCTGCTCTGTCTACATATCCATCTCTGATCAGTATGATTAAGGATAAACACCCCCCACCCTCAGATTGTTTTTATTATTATTATTATTATTATCATCATCATCTTTAATTTTAACAATATCAATAATAATGGCAAAGTTATAGTAGGGGATGATATGGGATGCCTCAATTTGATGCCCACCTTGAGAGCAGTGTGCATTTACTGATAAACATTCAAACAATCAAGTTTAGAATCACAGTCATTTGTTTTTCTCTTGACTATAGATAGCACAATATCTCATCTCAGTACATTTGACGAATGGCTACTCTGTACTTAATTTTGGCATTTCATCTGAATATCAACATTTGTGGTATTTTTAATTAGTCAAAACATAATTGAGCGAATTTTTTTGTCTCTGGAAAATAGTGATCTATGACACTGTATTATGTTGAATATCAAAGTTTTTTTTTGTCTTGTTTTATGTTAATGAAGGATTTGTGGACTCATTCATATTTTTTTTAAATTGTGGCCTAAAAAAAACAACGTATGAAGACGTTTTTGCTATTCTTGAGAAACTAACAATTGAGCTGGTTCATCACATTCAGGTAAAATAAACCCTTTCAACAAAAGAAACCTACAGAATTTTTAGACTCATTATAAACAGCTCATTTTCATATGACTAATCTGCTTTGTAGAAACCCCTGCCTCGTTTAGAAGAGCAAATCGAGATGAAGCTCACCGAAACACAGAAGGAACTGGAGGCATACGGCAACGGACCCCCATCAGACCCTGCAGAAAGACTGAGCGTTCTCATTGATGCGAGTACAATCATGAAACGTTTTTTTTTGTCTTGTTTTATGTTAATGAAGGATTTGTGGACTCATTCATATTTTTTTAAAATTGTGGCCTAAAAAAACAACGTATGAAGACGTTTTTACTATTCTTGAGAAACTAACAATTGAGCTGGTTCATCACATTCAGGTAAAATAAACCCTTTCAACAAAAGAAACCTACAGAATTTTTAGACTCATTATAAACAGCTCATTTTCATATGACTAATCTGCTTTGTAGAAACCCCTGCCTCGTTTAGAAGAGCAAATCGAGATGAAGCTCACCGAAACACAGAAGGAACTGGAGGCATACGGCAACGGACCCCCATCAGACCCTGCAGAAAGACTGAGCGTTCTCATTGATGCGAGTACAATCATGAAATCTATACAGCTACTATATCAAAGTATGCATATTTAGCCATATTGATATTACATAGTTTCTGAAATCTTTAATATCTCATCAATTAATTTAGAAAGTTACAGCTTTCACATGTGATACTCTCAACCTGACCACTGGGAAGAGGTTAAATGTGCATCAGATATACTGATTTTTCCAAAACTTCGTCAAAAATTTGAAAAATGGAATAGCTTCCTGGATCATTCAGGATATTCCTGTGAGTGAAGCATATATTTGGCACCTCCTATGTGTCCTGTTTCCTTTTTGTTTCCAAAGATTGAGAAAGAAGTCGATAACTATGAAACAAAGTATCGGGGAAGAGAGCTTCCAGGATTCATAAATTACAAGACCTCTGAAGGACTTGTTAGGAAACAGATCAAGCTGTTGGAAGAACCAGCCTTAAAGATGCTGAAGACCACCTCTGGTTTGTGTTGTTTTGTATATTTCACATCCCACCCCCACCCCATTTCCACAGTTTTTAATCATGCAACAATGTATTGACTGTTCAGATGGACCTCACTTTTTGCACAGGCTCTTTGTCATGCTTTGTCAAAGGAGTTCTCTATAACTGTTGCCTCAATGGGTGGAATTTAAAGGGGTCATATGATGCGATTTCAATTTTTCCTTTCTCTTTGGAGTGTTACAAGCTCTTGGTGCATAAAGAAGATTTGTAAAGTTGCAAAGACTAAAGTCTCAAATCCAAAGAGATATTCTTTATAAAAGTTAAGAGTCAGCCACGCCTACCTAAAACGGGTCGTTTTAACACGCCCCCACATATCTACATCACAATGTCGGAAGCTTTGCATAACGCCGCCCAAATGTTCACGCAAAGAAAGAAGGCGTAACTTTTATTCTCGCTGTAGTATTGTTGTTGCCGCCGCCATGTCGTGAAGGCATTGTGTGAATCGTTGTGAAACCGAATCTCCTTTGTTTGGCCTTCCAAAAGAGGAAGATATCCGCTTCGTCATGCCTGGAGCTGATCCGTGCTGGTTGCTGAGGAAATACTACAACTTTGCGCTGTGGATCGCCGGATCGGCTTTCACCGTGGATGAAGCGGAGTCCAGCCCGGGGTTGTCACATGTGGTTGCCGCAAGCCCGCCGGACGCTCCTTCGTCGAATCCACCGCCTCTGCTCACTCTAGACCGCCGCCACTCACTCTAGGCCACCGTGTTTCATTGTGAAAGCGAAACTACATTGTTTGGCTTCCAAAAATAGACACGACTAGAAATCAGTGGTTAAGTTGTATTTACAACACTGTTCCAGAACGTCAAGAAAACCAGGAAATCTAAAACCATTTTAGCCACAACTGAACTGTAATTACGTTTGTAGGTAAAGAGTTTTGCTGCCTAGTGAATAAATATCAAAGATTATCTTGAAAGGCAACCCATGAACTTCTCATTTGATTTACATCACGCTTTGGATAAAGGTGGCTTGGTAATAAGTACAGTGCAATTTCCTGATGCCTGGCAAGCTAGACTCACTGGATAATCAAGCTTGCAAGTGAAAGTTTGCAAAGGAGCTGTATTAACATTGTTCTTGTGTTTTTGTACATAGATGTGGTTAGTAAGAAGTTCATCCAGCTGGCTTCGTTGGATTCCCTAATCTTCTGAAAATAGCAAAGGTTGTTTTTGTGTGTTCATGCCAATGTTTCTGGCAATACACAGATTCCATGTTTATATCAAACCACTTTTTTTTTTCCTTTTTCAAAATATCAAATTTCTGGCAAATTGATGAGTGTTGTAATTTCACACAATTACAAACCATTGCTTTCCAGTGACAAATGTTCAGCCATGCCTTTAAATCATAATCCAAAAAGAAGTGGTCTGTTTTATCACTGCTTATGGAAAGTTCTGAAGTTTTCAGTATTATTTTTTTTTGTTAGACTAAAATTGAAGCCATCAAGCATGAAAAAGAATGCCTGGCAGAATCCATGCTGAAGACCCAATTCAAGATGGAGCTCATTGTTTACAGTCAAGATGGCACATACATTCAGAGCCTGCAAGATGCAAAGGATAAACTGGACGAGGACGAAAAACTAAAAGCTTTAACTGCATGAGCGTAGACATGATCACAATCATGCCACCTTGCGTAACATGAGTTTGTACCTCGAGCACTACTTACAAGGTAAGAGTGCCAACTAAAGCTTTCAGTGCTATCTGCACTCTTAAAAATAAAGGTCCTTCACGATGCCA